CCCCGACACCTGGTTTGTCCCGCTGCTGTGCCAACAAGCAGCGGGGGTGTCAGGAAGCCAGCTTTGCTGTCCCCATGTGCCTAAGGCTGTTGATGTTTTCCATTCGCAGACATGTTGCTGGATGACACTGGTGAATGCTCGGCTCGGAAGGAAGGAGGCAGGCATGTTAAGATAGTTGTCAGCTTTCAGGAGGAAATGAAGTGGAAGGAGGTTAGTTGTATCCCTTTCCCTGCTCGGCCTGTCCCTTCCCCAGGTAGAACTACCTAGCTTAGCGATGTCATCGTAAAGCCCGCCTCACCTGAGAGCCTGAGGTGACGTACTAACACATCTCGTAACTAACCATCATCCTCAGCAGCATTTGACACAACTAAAGCGAGCAGACAGCGTTTCCGTTTCTCTTGTGTTCAAAAGTATAATCAAGAATATTAAAAATCGTTCACATCGCACTTCCATGTAATTCACTAAATGCTAACATCCATCGGAAAGGGCTTTCTGAATTTTTACCGTGTCCCCAGAGCACTTTAGAGGCAGCTAGGCATACCTGGCACGTAAGATACAGAAACAAGCTGACCAGATTCAGCTGACCCAGAGCACCAGTTTCATCGGTCTGCAGAGGCTACTGACAAAGTAGACACTGAGAGGCGAGGTGGCCCCATCCTGGAGGGGAGCACACAGCTAGCTAACAGCGGAGCTGGTGGGGTATCTTGACTCCTGCTGCCAGAGACTATTTTGGGATAGGGACGGGGATTGACACTGACCGTCAATTAAAGCCCGGTGATGCTCTGAATGAACTCAAATAAATGGGAAAAGGCCTTATGAGTCACCATTTCAAGTTCCCTGGGGTTTTTTGTTTGTTATTTCTTAGCATTTTAGCCAATATGCTGTTGGGGTTTCAGACAGCTAGGGAATCCGCAGTGCCCACCAGAATAAGCGTCTGAAGCCAGAATGTTACCTGCCAGGGGATTCCACCTTGTGACTGACTTGGCTAGCCCAGGATTTGGGGACTTCCAGGGGTTTTAGCATCATCTAGCCGAGCAAGCTATGGTAAATCGCTCCATTTCCAAAATGTAGCTAGCAGAGTGATGGATTGTGAGGGCGACATTCATTCTGACAGCATGCTTATAGTAAATGCAAGTGCTATCTACCTGTGGACGCAATTCTTCCTAGTGCTCATTGAGATGGACAGATAGAGTTTACATGTCATAAACGTTTGAGTCACCTTCAGAAATTGTCTCATTCTGGATTGCCACAGCATCCAGGTAACCCTCACCCTAACTCTCCAGAGTCGGGGGGTTACTATCACCGTTTCACAACTGAGAAACCCAAGACCCAAGCATCACCGACTTGAGGCCCCGGGCGCATGGTGAGCTCAGATCGTCTCACCGCAAGACTGGTGCCCCGCTCCCTGCCAGTTGTGCTTAGCTGCCAGATGCTGCTGCCCTTGCCCCCGCCCCAACTGCTCTCCTAACTCTGCATCGCAACGAGCATGTCAGATATTTAAAACCTAACAGAATGGATTGTTCCATCAGGTTTTGTCTAATCATTCTGATCAGTTAGCCTCCGCTATGCACAGCCCTGTGGGCAGAGAGGCAAAGGTTATTTTTAGGGGTATCCTTCCTGGGATTTCCGAATTGAACCTGTTTTAACTTTTAATTAGAAGAAAAGCAGCACATTTTATTTAAAAAAAAAAAAAAGACGGAAGAAAAGTTAGAAACACATTCTGTCCTGAAGAAGTTTAAGATCTAGCAAGGAGACAAACCTGATGCACAAATTAGACAGAAATACCTAAGGCTAAATATAAGTGTAAAGCATATCATTTTATAAGTTGTACCGAAATCTCTGAAGCAATGTGAGCTCTGAGCCAGGTGGGGTTAATCACCGAAGGCTTCCTGGAAGAGGTGAGTTGGTAAGCAAGGTTTGGAAAGGGGGAGATGGCAGACAGGAATGGGGAGAGTATCCCAGGCAAGGACTGTATGAGGTACATAGCAGAAGGTTCTAGACTCCAAAGAGGCGATCCCCTCTTCCTGACCCATGGATTGGCGTTTCAGTTAAGATTTTAAAGCGGTTGCATTCCACCTAAGCTATGCCTGGTGTCGAAACAAATAGAACTTTTATTTCCCTCTCAAACCACTGGCGGAGTTCTGAGGCAGTCCGAGTGTCCTGCTGAACTCGGTCCAAAGAGACCCACCTGTTTTTCACCTGCGTAATTTCCTTGCCCTTAGGACTCCAGACCGCATGTCTTTCTTATTGGCTGCATTGGCGTTAGTGGCAAGACGAAGTGGGATGTGCTCGATGGGGTGGTTAGACGGCTGTTCAAAGTAAGTGTTTCCGGAAGGCAGCTATGCAGCACACCTGCGCAGGGCCTGGGCCCGGGAGGGAGAGGGAGGGGTGTGTCCCGAGCATGGCTGCTTCTCAGGCCTGTCTCCTCCTCTGCATCCTTCTGTTGCTAGAACTTGTTCCCTGGCCCTCAGGGGAATAGAAGGCCAGTGGTGAGTACAGACAGGTGGTCGGCCAGACTTTCCATCTGCCTTTTGTGGGGGTGGCCAGCTAGTCAGCATCACCTGAGCAATTATTTGATCCTTTCACAGTGAGTGGCTGATGTCCAAACCCTCTTTCCACCTTAGACGTGTGTCCTATTAAATGTAGTTTGGAGTATGTCCTCTGTGGCTGGGGCTTAGACATCAGATTTCTATCCTTCATTTTGGGGGAACTTGATCCGACTTGCCCAGCAGCCTGTGTCAACATTTCAGAGTCTCCAATTTGTGCCACAAGGGACATTAACGTCTGATCCATGGCCAGGATCAAGGATGGTGGCACACTTATTTCTCTGTTCTTTCTAATCACATCAATAGATTGGGCATTTGCCACAAGAGAAAAAACTAAGGATTACCGAGGTGAACCTTGGGACACAGGGTGGCCCGAACAAAGCTTTTGGCACATTTTTCTGATGAAAATAAGTCAGTAGCCAGAAGTGCTTATTAATCAAATCCCCTAAGTAGTAATAATAGCCCACAGTTTTCTGTGCCAGAGACCATGCTAAGCCTCTTATTCTCCCAGTTAAAGGTGAGGAAAGAGGCTTAGTTTGGACCGTGGATCGAGAACTAAACCATGTTGGCCTAGTTGAGCTGGTCTGACTGCAAAACCTGGTTTAACTAGTATACCATAGGCTCTTCCTAACATCTCATTCCAGGTGCTACATACAGAGAAAATTCTGAGTTTTGGCCAAAGATCGTTGCCATCTTGGCAAGCCAGTCTGTAAAAATGTGGCAAGGCAATAGGTAAATGACTTAGGACAGACCAGTTCTCCTATCTAGGCCAAAGCCTTATGTCTACAGATGAACAGTTGGGATATCCTTGGATTAAAATGACAACAGTTTGGGCTGAAAAGAGCTACTGGGATGTGATAGTAAGTGAGGAAATGAGACCATTCAAGTTCTGTTATGGGAATTCCTACCTGTGTCAGCATGTGGCCACCACAGAGCCCACAGACCTCAGTTCCACATTCACTGACCCAAAACCTTGGGCAATCCTCCTAAGAGAGAATATTTTCCAAATTAAAAACATTCTTTTTTTTCTCAAAGAGCTGGAGCTGATTTTTTTCTAGCAGTCCTGCAATTTGTTCCTTTTGTCATTCAGTATAATCTTTGAGCCAAAAGAAGAGGATGGTAGAGAGATTTCCTGCCAGAACTGCGTTTTTGTGAATTTTCCAGCACCTGACGTCTTCAGGACTTCAATGGAACTTAGGAAAAGCGGTTTAGCTTTTCCGTGCTTGGTTCACTCCAGACTAAACGTTCATGATCTTGCTAGGAGTTTGGGGTTTTTTTCCCCTTTCCTAACCAAATAAATTTGTATTTTAGGAGGCCCATAATACTAGGGCATTATCCTTGAGAGGGCCAGCCCTTCCCCCCATTCTGCAGTTCAAGTTCAACTTAGCCATCATCTGAGAAAGAAGAGCAGATGACCATAAATCACCCTGTGAAAGCATGAGTCATAGGCAGGGCTTAGCCATGTCTTTGATAGGGTCTTTATTTTTAATTTTTTCCAGGAATACATCATCCACGTGGACCCAGTAAGCCAGCTAGGGCTGAATTCAGACAGCGTTCTGGGTTACAGCATTGGGGAAATTAAACGCGGCAACACTTCCGAAACCCCCGAGCTGCTTCCCTGCGGCTATCTGGTCGGAGAGAACACGACCATCTCGGTGACTGTCAAAGGTAATGTGACTGGCTGCCGTGGCCAATGCTTTCAGGAATTGCAGTTGTTCTGTGACTTGGCGTAGGCAGTTGCAGCCGCAGTTTTGTTTGTGCATGTGTGTGTGGGCTGCTTTTGTGTTTCCTTTCACCACAGCTACTCTGACCTCAGCAAGTTGGACGGTCTTGGGCTTTTTCAACCAACTTTGGAAACAAATCGTTTTAGTTTATTGCTGCAATTACATAACAAAAGCTCCCATTAGACTTATGACTCTGAGATGATGAAATCTTAATGACCCTGTTGAAATGGGGCTTTACCGATACCAATGAATTACTCTTGCCAGCGAACCTTGGACACGGTCCCATTCTGCAGATGGGGAAACCACGACTTGCTGGAAGTTAAAGGGGAGTTACTCTGAGCATCATGATGAAACCGCTGAGGCAGCTGCCCACACATGATGCTGCCAGGACTTCCGGTTGCCTCATTCCCCAGAGATGTGAAGCCCCAGGCCAGAGTCTTCTTGGAGCTCAAGGCCCAGAAAGTTCTCTGTGGGGGAAACAAAAGTTTCAGGGCCAAATAAATCTGAGGAACGTTATTATTTGGGTTTGGGGGCCAGGAGACAGATGTGCACTGGTACACGAAGGCTTCTGTCCTTTACTGTCCTAACTCCCGCTGTCAAAAAGGCTGTTTAATCCAATCTGTTCCAAATTTATTTGACTGCAAAACCCCACCATTTCCTATATGTTGTGAACCCCCTGATTCACAGACTTATATGGTTACGGGGCTAGGTTCATTCTTTGTGTTGTCCTGTTTCTCACTTCCCTGAAAGACACTGATCTTGACTGCAGGTTTTAGCAGTGTAATCTTGTCGTTGTTTGATGCAAATTCTATTCCCTGGTTGGTAGGGTATCCACAAGCATCCCAACACTTGCCATCAGCAAGAATTAAGTTCTTGCTGCATTACTACTGACTTTTGAAGCTGCAAAAAAGAAAAAATCGGCCGGGCTCGGTGGCTCGGCCTGTAATCTCAGTACTTTGGGAGGCTGAGGTGAGTGGATTGCCTGAGCCTGTGGGTTTGAGACCCACCTGGGCAACTTGCGAGACCTCGTCTCTACTATAAACCAAAAATTAGCTGGGCGTGGTAGTGCGTGCCTGTAATTCTGGCTACTTGGAAGGCTGAAGTGGAAGGATCGCTAGAGCCCAGCAGGTCGAGGCTGTGGTGGCCAGGAGCATGCCACTGCATTCCAGTCTGGGCGACAGAGTGAGACTCCAACTCAAAAAAAAAGAAAAAAAAAATCTCTTACAGGTGGCAAGTGGTCCATACTACTCCAGCCCCACAAAATCTTTTCCTGCTGGCAAGTGCAGTTTCACAATTGTGCCCTTGGATGACAAGGAGCAGAAACCAACTCAGAAGTATCTGTAGCAAAAAAGGAAACTTATGAGCTCATACGCCATGGGCAAGCCAGGCGTATGCTTTAGGCACAGCTGGATCCAGGTGCTCAGACAGTGCCCTCAGGACCAGGCCTGCCTCAGCTTTGCCCATCACGGCTGCGCTTATTTATTGATCGCTCTGCACATGTTGATGAAGTGACCCCTGGTAGTCCTGATTCATTTTTCCAGCTTAGGAAACTGAAGGAAAGAGACCTTTCTGAAAAAGTGTGACAGAAGATTCCTAGGGGTGACTCTGGCCCACTCTGAGTCAAACGCCCATCACGGAATCAGTCATGTGATCAGCGAGAGGATTTGGTCAAGCCTGGGCACAAGCCTGCCCCTTTGGGTGGGTGGAGGGGCTGGATGGGTTCCACTTGAAACACAGGGAAGGAGCTCTCCAGGACAAAGAAGAGTTCTTTTTTTATTTTGAGTCAGAGATTCACTCTGTCACCCAGGCTGGAATGTAGTGGCATGCTCACAACCACTACATCCTCGACTTGCTGGGTTCAGGTGATCCTTCCACCTCAGCCTCCCAAGTGACTGAGAGACTACAGGCATGTGTTACCAAGCCTGACTAAGTTTTTTTTTTTTTTCTGGGGGGGGGGATTTATTGTAGAGACAAAGTCTCGCCAAGTTGCCTAGGTTGGTCTCGAACCCCTGGACTCAGGTAGTTCTCTTGCCTCGACCTCCCAAAGTGCTGGGATTACAGGCTTGAGCTCCTGCATCTGGCCCCAGAAGAGTTTTTAAAGGGCATACAGGAAGGGGTGCCAGGCACACCAGTATAACTGTCCATGACGGGAAGCCTTTAAAGAGAGCCTTTTACGTCCTGGGCTCGAGTTGCACTCTACTCATGCTGCCAAGCATGTGTTGATCACGTGGTCATTTTACAGGCAGACACTACAAAGCTCTGAAAGATGAAAGGAAGACCTGAGATCAGACCAAACCTCTGTAGAAACAGTGACATGATATCTTTCTCTCCCTCCACAGAGTCTGATCCATCACTGCTCTCAGCACATATCTTTTAGCATCCCAAGGGATCAGCTTGGGTTTATTTTTCAGCAATGCCTGACTCTTCTCTTTTCCTATAGTGCTAAAAACTTATCCCTTCAAGGCACTAAAAACCACCCGAGGATTTGAGCTTAAAGATTTTCCTGCATTGGAATGATTCACTTAGAGGTGCCAGGGAAAGGGGATGTGACTTTGCATGTTCTGGAGTGAATTCTATCAGCAGAATAATCACTCCCTGGGAGGTTTAACAGCCAAAGACTGAAACAGCAGCATATATGCAGAGAAGAGTTTTAGTGGGTTTTTTCCCTATGTTTATCATTATTATTGTTGTTATTTAGACTACCATGTTCCATACTTTGCGTTGAAGTTTGAGCCAGTGTAGGCTACATTGAGCTCAGTAGCGGGAAAATCTTTAGCCTGTCCAACAGATAAGGCATTTGGGGACTGTCATCACCGTCATTCTGGAGCAGTCACTGCATTTAGGGGCTATGCTTGGTTAGGAAAAGATGAGAAACAAGCATATAACTGCACGGAGATGGGGGATCTTTTGGCATGAATGATTATGTGGAAGAAATGCTCTAATAACACAATGAGTATCCTTTGGTTCACTTCTTACACACTGTGTTCTTGGGAGTTTTTAAGCAGAATTACCTTAGGTTCTAGACAGCTAACCATGGATGGATCTTCTCTCGGAGACGGTGTCAAGACAAGAGCTATTGTAAAGCCAGCAGTCCTGATTCATGAAGGTGTCCTAAGGAGGAAAGGAGGAGGAAAAGTTTCTGCTTGGCGTTGTTGAGGCTCCGAGCTCCCAGTTTGCAGCATTTCGAGTTGGGTCTGCCAGGATCCACATTCTAGAATCAAATGACCCCATCCCACTCTTTTCTTCATTTAAAGATAAAGCACTGGGACCCTGGAGGCTCACCTCTGTGCACAGGGCAGGGGCACCTGACATGCGGGAGAGGGCAGAGAGAAGGGGAAACCCTGGGGTTGTGACAGACACGGGCAGCCAAGACTCCGGTTTGGCCCTGGCAGACACCACAGGTATGGTAAATCCAGACAAGCAAGCAGAGCCCAGAGCCTTAGGGATTCTGCAGGGGACAGGTGAGGACTGACAGCCCAAAATTATAATGGTGCATCCGAATCTGGGAAAGTCGGCCCAGACAGGAGCCAGGTGACTTCCTGGAGCAGCAGCTTGCTCCCAGCCTTGGCACACCTGGGTGGGCTGAGGTCTCTGGTGAGTGGGCTGCTGAGGAAAGGTATATAACCTCAGGCCATGGCGGTCCTAGTCAGGCTGAGGAAAGGTATATAACCTCAGGCCATGGCGGTCCTAGTCAGGCAGGCACCCAGAGAGCTACCTTTTCTATAGGGCTTCTAACCCTTCCCGTCTCTCTGAAATGCAGGGCTCGCGGAAAACAGCCTGGACTCGCTGGTGTTCGAGTCTTTGATCCCCAAGCCCATCCTGCAGCGCTACGTGTCCCTGCTGATAGAACACCGGCGGATCATTCTCTCCGGCCCCAGTGGCACTGGGAAAACCTACCTGGCCAACCGACTGTCAGAGTACCTGGTGCTTCGAGAGGGACGGGAGTTGACAGATGGGGTTATTGCCACCTTCAATGTAGACCATAAGTCCAGCAAGGTGAGGAGGTCGTTCTGAGCCTGCTGCACTTCTGGCCCTTTCAGAGCTGATGATACCACCACCATCCTGATGAGAAGGCAGCATTTCCTATTGGCTCTTGTTCAGTGGCTCTAGAAAGCTGAGCAAGGATGTCAGGATGGTGTTGGTAGAAAGGAAACCTCACTCACACTCTCCCAGCAAGGAGTTCCATCTGTGGCTAACCCTCTCAAGTTTATTTATGATACTTAGTGCCAGTGGTTCTTTAAAATCATCCCAGATATATCCATTTCAGTTTACCAGGAAGTTATTATGTGTCCACTAGGTGGTATTGTTTTTCCAAAATAAAATCTTTTGTGGAACAACTATAACACCAATAACAAAAGTAATGGTAATAACAACAGTGACAGGAGCTCACATGTATGGACTGCTTGCCCAGGAAAAGCAAACTGGCTTTGTCAACAGCAGTACCTTCAAGGGAGTAGTTGTCACTATGCCCATTTTGCCGAGGAGGAAGCAGAGACTTGGGGTAGATTGGTCCTGTGCCTAACACCCCTCCTATGGTACTAAGTAGCAGAACTGAAGTTCAAGTTGAAGCCTTGAACTCTCAAGCCCTGTGGTCAGCACATGGATCGGAGATCCTGTGTCACAGTGAGCAGTGGAAACCTGTTTGGGTTGGAGTCTGACTTGATCCCAGCTGAAGGCTGGAAGGTGTTTTCTTAGACCCGTTCATGCAGTGAGAGTTGATAGGTAATTCACTCCTGCTGACCCTGTGCAAGGGGGCCAGAGAATCAAAGGGGGATTGGAAATGGCCCCTTCCCATGAGAGTTACCAGGTGTGCCCGAAGGTGCCGACTCCTGGCTCTCACTCCTTGATAATCTGGTTCGGTGGGTTGTGTAGGGCTGGGACTCTGTACCACCCTCCAGTCCCCTCAGTTATTTTGCTATAAGAACAGGACAAGAGAAAGATGCTCAGAGCCCCTCTGTTGAGAGCCTTCGAGTTAGAGAGGGCACCCTCTCCTGGGCCCAGTGAGTAAAGACTTCCCAGGCACGGAGCTGTGGGTGGAGTGCAGGCTAGATTCTGGCCCCTGTTCCCTCTCCCCTTGGCAGGGCACCCTCACACAGGACACAGCCCACCACTGTATACCACAGACCCACATAGGGGAGGGAGGACGCAGCCTGCCAGCTGTATACCGCAGGCCCGCGTAGGGATAGGAGGATACAGCCTGTTAGCTGTATACTGCCAGTCTGCATAGGGAAGGGAGGACACAGCCTTCCAACTGTATACCATAGGCTATGTAGGGGAGGGAGGACTCTGAGGCCCAAGGAGCCAGGAGCTCTGTCCCTTTCAGGCGCCTGGGACCAGAGACCTGGGTGAAGAGGTACTAAAAGAACTAGTAACATTAAAACTTGGGCTTTTTCTCTTTGCAACAAGCTGTTTTCTGACTTTAAAAGGAGGCCCAGTGTGGGCATGTGCTTGCAGGAGTTGGAGGAAATGTCACCCTCAAGCCAGCAGGCTAGTACCCGGGACAGCCTGTAGACACACACCAGGGTGGACCCCCAAGTCTGATTCATCCCCACCGCTGACCCCCGTGCGCTCAGGCCAGTCACTAAATGTTGGCGAACCTCAGCTTCTCCATCTGTAAAATGGGAGTACTCACAGGACCCACCTCTTAGAGTTATTGAGGAGCTACAAAAGTTCCTGTGGGCCAGGCTCTTGGAGCCCTGCCTGGATCTAAATGCCGCCAGCTTGTCGCTGTGATGGCAATAGCATCAGGTGGCCATTCCGGGCTCTCTGGCAGATCCTCGCCCTCCGTTGCAACCTGGTTCCCTATTGTGCCCTTTTGTTCCTCTTCTTTTTTTTTTGATGTGTATCCCTTGCCCCAGGCACTGATGACCACTCACCGGTCCTGGGTGAGGCCCAGGCCTCACCTGTTCTTCAAGGTTAAGTTCAAAGCCTGCCCTTTCACAAGACTTTCCTGTGTTTCCCTAGTGCACATAGACCTGTCTCTCTCTTAAGGTGTATTTGGCTCTTCTGCTGGTTTGACTTATCGAGGGCTTCTGTGTTTGTAGCTCTCAGGCAGCTACTGAGATGGTACCAAGATTTGTAAGACACCCGCCTTCAGTGGCCTCCTGGGAGGCCGGCATAGTAAGAAATGGCAAGAAAGGTGACATTTCTGGAGGAATAAAAAGCATGCCTGTGTGGCTGTGGTGCTGTGCTCTTGTCCTGGCCTCGCGGGGGTTCAGTTACCTAGCAGATGCCAGAAGGCGGGACTAGAGCCTCACTCATGCTTTGACCACCCCATGTCCCCATGCCCCAGGCCAGTGCCCCGTAAGAGACGGGCCCTCAGAACATGTTCACAGCATGGTGTCGTGAAGGTCTTGAAGGCCTCTCTGCCCGTGCTGGCCTGGGTGGAGCAAAGGCTTGAGCAAGTGTGTCCTCCCTGGGGCGGCTTCACCAATGGGTCCCCCTTCCTGGCTGTCCTAGGAGTTGCGCCAGTACCTGTCCAACCTCGCCGATCAGTGCAATAGCGAGAACAACGCCGTAGACATGCCCCTGGTCATTATCCTGGACAACCTGCACCACGTGAGCTCTCTGGGCGAGATCTTCAACGGACTGCTGAACTGCAAGTACCATAAATGGTAAAGGCCTGTGGGACCTCACAGCTCCGGGAGGGTGCCGCGCCCTGGGAAGCCATGTGCGTGCATCGGCAGGGAGGGATGGGCGACTGGACACCTGCCCCCCGCACACACATTCTCTGGCCTGTCTTGGCCTCACGACTATCTCTTCTTCATTTCTCCACAGCCCGTACATAATCGGCACCATGAACCAGGCTACCTCTTCCACACCCAACCTGCAGCTTCATCACAACTTCAGGTACGTTCACCTTCCCTCGTCAGTTAGATGACGGATCACGCAGAAGGAAAGCAAGAGAGGGTGCGTAGCAAGACCTCAGTCACGTGTCTGTCATATGCTGGCTATCGTGTCAAGCCTTTTCCCAGCTTAATGCCTTTCTCCGTTCAGCCTCAAGTAGTTACATTTATCACTCTCAGTTTATAAATGGGGAAACTGAGGCTTAGGGACTTAAGTGACTTGTGAGGTGTCACACGGCTGGTCAGTCCAGACCAGCCCTGCCCACCCAAAGCACTGGATTTTATTCTGCAGGCGATGGTGAGCCACTGATGGACTTTAAGGCCGAGAGTTCAGGGTCAGATGTACATTGTAGAATGCCCACTCTGGCTATCCTGGTGCAGAGGGCGCCCACAGAGCCCGAGCTGCAGGTGGGCGTGCACATCCCCCATCACTGCTCATGACACTTAAAACCAGGTCTCTGTGACTCTGATTCCTGCTGTAGCGGGGTCATGGAGGCAGCTCTGGGCAGGGGCTGCAAGCTCCCTTGCTGCCGCTGCAAGGTACCTGTGAATATGAGCCATGACAGCTCTCACTTTATAAGTTTTACAAGTAACTGGGTCGAGGGACCTTCAAATTCCAGCAGATATAAATCCCTGCTCGCTGGTCCCCACTCTCACCCCCACTGCCTCAACACCTCGTTGGTGTGAGGACTGCTTACCTCTTGCAAGCTAAGTGGTGTGGCTGATGACTTTGACATTGCTAAACACCCTTTGCCCTGCCCTGAGTCCAGCTGACTCTGCCTCTCCTTCCTGGGCCCGGGGCTGGGACCCCGCCTCGTTTTCACTGACCACAGTGCAGCACCTCTGATGGACCTATCCAAGGTGGATCTGAATGTGATTGTCAGAGAAACCTCGACACTTCGGGCCCACTGAGAACACAGCTCACCTCCGTACTTAGGCTGTCCCGGCACCACCATGCATTCTCCTGAAATCCCTGAGTCCGGCCTCCTCCTCTTCCCCACCCCCGTCACTGCCCCATCATCACCCAGTTCACCATTGCCATGGTTTCCTGGCCAGCATGCCCGCCTGCAGCTCGGCCCATGCAGGCGTCCTCTGCACCAGGGCAGCCAGATTGGGCATTCTAGAGTGTTCATCCGACCCTGAACTCTTGGGCTTAAAGTCCATCAGTGGCTCCCCATCGCCTGCAGAATGAAATCCAGGACCTTGGGTGGGCAGGGCAGGTATGGGCCCTGCTTACATCAAACTCCAGCTGTCTCCCTATGTCCTTTCCCCGAGTGTCCCCGCCGTTTCCCAGACTTTTGCAAAGGCTGCAGCATCACCCGCCCCCACCCTGCACCCACTCCTTTCCTTCTGTTGCTGCCTCTCATCCATCCAGTCTCAGCCTAGACTCTCCCTCCTCCGAGGAGCCTTCCATGATTTCCTTAGGCTTCATCGTGTCTTATTTCAATTTGTTTGTCTGTCTCCTGCACCAGCTGTGAGCTTCTGGGGAACAGAACTGCATCTTAGCCATTGTTGTAGCTCCATAGTCCAGCACAGAACCTGATACCAGGCACACAGGTGGTTTGTCTCAATGGTTAGAGCTCAGACCCTGTAGCCAGACTGTCTTGGTTCTAACCTTAGCTCTTCTATTAAACTAGCTGTTTGATCCTGTACTAGTTACATTGCCTGTCTGTGCCTCAGCGTTTCTGTGTGTAAAATGGGGATGATGATGTCAATCTTGTGGGGTTGCCATGAGGAACTGTGAGTTAATACATATGGACACTGGGCGCAGTAGCTCACACCTGTAATCCTAGCATTTTGGGAGGCCAAAGCGGGAAGATTGCTTGAGCTCAGGAATTGAAGACCAGCCTGGACAACATATCAGCCTTTATCTCTACAGAAAATTTTTAAAAAATTAGCCGGGCATGGTGGCATGCACCTATAGTCCCAGCTACTCTGGAGGCTGAGGAAGAAGGATTGCCCGAACCCAGGAGGTTGAGGCTGCAGTGAACTGTTATTGTACCACTGCACTCTAGCCTGGGGAGCAAAGTGAGACCCCAGCTTAAAAATATATATACAGAGGGTGCCAAAAAAAGTATATACATTTTAAGAAAGAAAAAAAACCTGTATTAAAATTGTCATACTCAATATCAATATATACCAATAACAAAAGAGGACTATAAGCCACGTTTGACTTCTGCAATTACAAGAGGTGCTCAAAGAGGTCACCATCAGCATCCAGACACTTCCGATTATGGCACACTTAAAGTAACACATAGATAACATTGCTTAAAATGTGTATACATTCTGGGGGCACCCCGCTGTGTACCCTATATGGATGATGTTTAGAGCTGTGTGTGGTACGTAGCAAGTCTTATTTCCCTGTTAGTATCTATGCCTACTCTTTCTGTTACGCTTTGGTCCTTGAGGTCAGCCATCGTTTTTTTCACCATCATCTTGAAAAGCGTCTCCGGCTTCCCCCAGGTGGGTGCTTTGTGCCAACCACACGGAGCCTGTGAAGGGGTTCCTCGGCCGGTTCCTGAGGAGGAAGCTCATGGAAACGGAGATAAGCGGGAGAGTGAGGAACATGGAGCTGGTGAAAATCATCGACTGGATTCCAAAGGTCTGGCACCATCTCAACCGCTTCCTGGAGGCGCACAGCTCCTCGGACGTCACCATCGGTAGGAGGGAGGCCGCAGGAGAGGGCGGGTGGGTGGAGTGGCACTCCTGGAACATTGGCAGCCCCAGACAGTGGTCCTCTGGGCCCTGGCCAGGACAGCACGTTGCAGACACAGTCACTTGGGCACTGGACTGTCCATGGAGACAGAGAAGGGGACAGAGGGAGAGTCGCAGACCAGGCAGGCCCCTGACTGCTACTGTCTGCAGAAGAGAGATGTATCCAGTTGTGTCCAGCCCGGGCTGATGCACAGTGCCAGCTCACCAAAGAGCCCCGCCACAAGGTCCGCCCAACTGAAGCTACCTTTTGGGATTGGCTTTGCTTTAAAAATAAAGTGTGGACCGGACACGGTGGCTCAGCCTGTAATCCCAGAACTTTGGGAAGCTGAGGCGAGAGGATTGCCTGAGCCCAGGGGTTTGAGACCAGTTTGGACAATTTGGTGAGACCTCGTCTGTACAATAAATCACAAAATTTAGCCAGGCATAGTGGTGTGCATCTGTAGTTCCTGTTACTTAGAAGGCTGAGGCAGAAGGATCACCTAAGCCCAGCAGGTAGGTTGAGGCTGTGGTGGCCATGAGTGTGCCACTGCACTCCAGCTTGGTCAACAGAGTGAGACTCCAACTCAAAAAAATAAAAAAATAAAAGATAAAAATAAAGTGTGGCCAGGTATGGTGGCTCACGCTTGTAATCCCAGCACTTTGGGAGGCCAAGGTGGGAGGATTGCTTGAGCCCAGGAGTACAAGACCAGTCTGGGCAACATAGTGAGATCTCATTTTCACAAAAAAAAAAAATTTGCAAAACTTAGCCAGGCATGGTGTTGTGCACCTATAGTCCCAGCTACTTGGGAGACTGAGGTGGAGGATCGCTTGAGCCCAGGACATTGAGACTATGGTAAGCCAGGATGGTGCCACTGCACTCCAGTCTGGGTGACAGAGTGAGACCCTATCTCCAAATAAAATAAAATTTAAAGAGCATTTCTGAAGGTTAGGGATCTGGAGCAGAAAAAAAGTGATCGCCACCCCACCATCCTCACACAATAACCATAACTCGAGCTGATTCCTCTGTCCTTGTCCATATATGTATGCTCTATGTGACTGTAATCATGGCACACACAGTATGTTCCTTTTCACTTAACACTGTCTTGTGAGCATTCTGTGTTGCTGCTCAGTTTCTAAAATTTTTATTTTTTTTGAGCTGGAGTCTGACTCTGTCGCCCAGACTGGAGTGCATTGGCCGCTCCCGGCCACTGTAGCCTTGACCTGCTGGGCTCCAGCGATCCTTCCGCCTCAGCCTTCCGAATAGCTGATATTACAGGCACGCGCTACCATGTCCGGCTGATTTTTTAATTTTATTGTAGAGATGAGGTCTCGCCAAGTTGTCCAGGTGGGTCTTGAACCCGTGGGCTCAGGCAATCCACTCACCTCAGCCTCCCGAAGCGCGGGATTACAGACTGAGCCACCGAGTCTGGCTTCTAAAATTTTTAAAGACTACAAAATAATCAATACGGGTGTACCCTCATGCCCTCATGAGCTTAGCCATTTCTCTTGGACATGTAGCAGTGTGCTTCCATTGTCAAAAACAGAGTGTTCCTTCTCTCTTTCCTCTTTCTCTTCTTTCTGTCTCTCGCTCCCTTTCCTTCTTCTTCCTCCTTCCCTTTCTCTCTCTTCCTTCCCTTCTCTATCTCTCTTCTTCTCTCTCTTTTTTCTTCCTTTCTCTCCCCTCCCCATCCTTTCTCTTCCCTTTCCTGCTTTCTCTCTCCATCTCTCTCTTTTTCTCTCTTTCTTCTCCCCCCTTTCCCTCTCTCTCCTCTCTCTAAAGTTAAAAGTAAACGGTTATCAATACCACAGTGGGCACCTTCTCCATAGTGCCTTTCCTCTCTCTCTCTGATGATTTCTCCAAGGAGAGAGCCTCTGGCAGAATCAGAGGTCACATTGTCCTGCTCTGTGCCATCCAGGCCTGGGGTGTCTGCATTCAAGCCTGCATAGCTCAGGCTATGAAGGCACTCCTTAAGGGGTGCCCGTCCCAGGACTCCTCCTGACACCCACCCCCACCACATGCAGCTCTAATGTGTCTCTCCGTGGTCTGCAGGGCCCCGGCTCTTCCTGTCCTGCCCCATCGACGTGGACGGCTCAAGGGTGTGGTTCACTGACTTGTGGAACTATTCCATCACCCCCTACCTCCTGGAAGCCGTCAGGGAGGGACTCCAGGTAAGCAGCACACACCTACTGGCTCCCGCCACATCAAGCGGGCCTGTTCTGGGACAGATGAGTTGTCTCGATCCCCTCTGGGAGTCTGACTGACATGAGGTGGCAGCTCCCCACTTGTGAAGTCATTGGTCCAGCAGAGAGTAGGGACACTTGACCCTGCCACTTAGGAGCTGTGTAACCCCAGGCAAGTCATGTAACCTCTCTGTGCCTCAGTGTCCACATTGATATTCTGCCGCAAGGAATTGTGACGAGGATGAAATGAAATCATGTCCGTGAAGTGCTCAAGAAGTGGGGCTGTGCGTGTGGGCAGCACTTCACAGTTTGCAGAGCATTCTCTCGTCTACTATTTGATTTAAGCCCTGGGTTTTTGGTTTTGGTTTTTGGTTTTTTGGTCGCCATTTTTCAAGAGAGAAAAATTAGGCTCAAGGGGAATAAGAGATGTGCCCGAGGTTATGACAGTGAGACCTGAAGGAGCTTGAGATTTGAATCCATGCTGGGGTCAGATGCCAGACTCTCAGCCCTCAGGTCTATGGCACTCACTCCCTGACCTCAGGACCCCTCATGGGTGACTTCGGGGCCCTCCTGCCCCGCAGCAGTTGGAAAGCACAGTGCTCCAATTCTTACTCAGTCCAGGGTTGAACTAACAGCTTCCCACTGATGTGGAGCTTGGGACAGTTATATTGTCAAGTCTGGAGGCAGCCTGAGGAACTCCATAGTTCCCAGCAGTCACCACACCACTGAATTATCCAGGAACTAGTTTTGCAGCTGGGTTTCCAAGGGCTTCTTCATTTCCTTGGTTCTGGGCAATGGGAGACACACAAGGCTGCCATAGGCCTGTGAGGGTGCAGGAGTGGTGTGTAGCCATGTGCATATGTGTGACAGCCCAAGTTCATGGCTGCATTCGTTGTTGGCCATCTCTCTACATTTGGCTGAGCCTGAGGAGCTGCTTTGTATTGAGGATGCCTAGCAGCAGTGATGCTCTTCAGAGGCATTTAGGTCAGGAAGAATGTGAAAAGGAAGCTATTGTGCCTCTTGTGACTGGCGTGTCATTGAACTGGCGCATGCACGCCAGGCATTCAAGCCAGCGTGTTGAAATACAGGTGTCTTGTGAAGGCGAGAGAGAAGTAAGAACTTAGGCAGTCTTTGGCCAGCCCGAGTCATTAGTTAGCCATCTTCTAGCGAATGTTGCTTTCATAAAGGAAGGTATGAACAATTTGAGGCCTTTGCAGTGGAATCTCTCTAGGTAGATAAAGTCGCTGACTGTGTAAATGGACCATAATGTAGTGTCTAATCACATGGGTTCGAGGTACTAACAGCCAGTCAGTCATTCTTATTCTGTGAGCCAGTGAAACCTCTTCCACTCGCTGAATCCTTGTACTCTGTCTCATTCCAGAAGCCTCTCTCCTCTGTTCTCAGTTGGTAGCATCAGGGAGCACGGTAACCCCAAACTGCTGAGAAGGGAATTGCAGGCATAAGGGGTGCACCATCTACCCTGATTTCACCTCACCTCTCACTTGCTCTTTGCTCCGACTGTGTCTTCCAGTGGGGTAGGGGGAGTGGTCTGAGGCACTTGAAGGAAGTCATGGGCTCTGCTGGATAAAGGCCTCCCCTGCCCAAGCAGGCACAGGAAGGGAGGCTGGGAGGGGAGGCCACCTGTGCTCCAGCCTTGGGCTGCACATCAGAGGCCCCTCGTGGGTCACCAGTCGTTGGCAGTGCCAAGGCCCTGCTCCTTTGGATCCACACCTGGACAAAGGTTTTCTGGGCGTGGCTGAAGGTAGGTTCAACTGGACACAAAAGGGTATCCCTTTCCATCCAGGAGAGTTGCTGGTGGAGCTGACCATAGAGGAACATTGGATCTCTCTCCCACCAACAACAAGTGAGGCCACAGGTTGAGAGGACGTGGGGGTGGCTGTGAGACTGTCCATCCGGGGCAGGGAACAGAGACAGGCTGTGATCTCGCGAGCTTCCCTAGTTCAGTGTGAGGCAGCAAAGGATAGGAAAAGCAAGCCCTCCGGCCGGGCTCAGTAACTCAGCCTGTAATCCTAGCACTTTGAGAGGCCGAGGTGAGTGGATTGCCTGAGCCCGTGGGTTCGAGACCTGCCTGGGCAACTTGACGAGACCTCATCTCTACAATAAATCAAAAATTAGCCGGGCTTGGTAGTGCGCACCTATAGTTCCAGCTACGTGGAAGGCTGAGGCAGAAGGATCGCCGGAACCCAGCAGGTCGAGGCTGCGGTGGCCGGGAGCAGCCACTGCACTCCAGTCTGAGTGACAGAGTGAGACGCCAACTCAAAAAAAAAAAAAAGGAAGGGCAAGCCCTTGCTTCAAACCTGCGGCCTTGGCAGCTCAATGAGCTGGGAGACCCCATAGGATTTTCTGGTTCCTGAGGAGGCCTGCCATGCTCTGCACGCCTCTGACTCTGAAGGAATGTTTGCTGACATTTGTTGGGGGCCTGCTACTTGCCAGGCACCAGGTTAGTGTCCCGACACTCATGATCTTATGAAGCTCTGGCAGCCCAGTGAGTCTCTGACCGACGAGGAAACCAAGACTCTTGGATGTTTTTGCACCTCACCAAGTTCACCAGGCAGGTATGATAGGGCCAGCATGGGTGCCCAGGGCTCCTCAGCTGTTTCCATTCGGGCTGTCCCGAGGCCCCCATAACTCCACCAGAAAGTCTGGTGGCTCAGGGAACCAAGTATTGTACTGTAAATAGTAGAGGTCTACATGTATCTTTATTTAACAAAAGGTTACCTCTGTTAAAAAAAAAAGCCCTACTCTCCTTCATGTGACTTTGGGTCCATGCATACTATGTGCTGGGCCCTGGACAGTGTCACTCCTCACAGTGGCCATGAAGTGAGCACAGTTCAGAGCAAGTAATCCCTTGGCTGAGGTCATAAGCTGAGAAGAGTCAGAGTCTCTAGAGTGGGTTGACAGAGCTGCCACATGCTGGGAGCCCTGGTGATAGGGACTTGGCAGAGCTTAAAGTGACCTGCTGGAGTCGAAGGTGAGGATGGTTTCAGAACTCTCGGAGTGCAACACATCCTTGGAGGGATCCACTCCCTCCGCATACCCATGCCTCGAGGAAATGTGGCATCACTCCCCCTAGTGGGCATGACATCAGATGGCTTTGCAAGTTCGGGCACCGTTGTCTTGGGATTGATGTGTGTGTATGTGTAATTGCTTGGAGATGCTTCCTGAGTGTGTCCCTTGGTGCATCCTTGTGTGATACTCATATGCTCCCGGGAGCCCCGTGCATCCCATGGAACCAGAAGGCTCACAGTGGCCCAGGTTTGAGTTTCCAGTGTCTTTGCTTCCTATCATCCTGTCCCCATTCTTCCTGACCCAGAGGGAATGGCAAGTTCCTTCCCTGTGTGTCTGTCTGTCCAGCTGCCTCTGCCACTGCCCTCAGGGCCCTGCAGTGGAGCTGAGCAGCTGTCTGATGTGTTCTTTGCAGGCTATGGCACTTATCAGACATTCATCACCCGGACTTGAACATGCCCAGCGGCAAGTGGGAGGCTTATGAAAATACAGAGGGTGCCAAAAGAAAAAAAAAGTGTACACATTTTAAGAAAGGAAAAAAAGCCGGGCTCGGTGGTTCAGGCTATCATCCCGCACTTTAGGAGGCTGAGTTGAGTAGATTGCCTGAGCCCACGGGTTCAAGACCCACCTGGGCAACTTGGTGAGACCTCATCTCTACAATAAATCAAAAAATTAGCCGGGCATGGTAGCACGCACCTGTAGTTCCAGCTACTTGGAAGGCTGAGGCGGAAGGATCGCCAGAGCCCAGCAGGTTGAGGCTGTGGTGGCCACCAGTGGCCACTACACTCCAGGCTGAGTGGCAGAGTGAGACTCCAACTCAAAAAAAAAAGAAAGGAAAAAACTGTATTAAGAGTGTAATACTCAATAAGATGAATATAAGTCACGTTTCACTTCTGCAATAATAAAAGGTGCTTGAACTGTTTACCACCAGTATCCAGGCACTTCTGATTATGGTGGACATCTCTTAAAATGTGTATACATTTTTTTGGCACCCCTGGTATTTTTCTGTTCTTGTGGATGTTATTAGCATGTGTCTAATGTGCGTTTGTCTTACGACTCAATCCCCAGGCCTGTTCCCCTTTGGAGTTGTCATTGGAAACACCTGCCAAGTGTCTAACATCTACAAAGAGACTCAGAAGCCCTCCATGCCCAGGGTAGGCCTGGTGCCTGCAGGGAACAGGGACATCAGGGGGCATGCGTGGGGTCATTCATCAGATTACCCAGTCTGCTCTGAGATCCTGGATGGGTCTCCCATCTCTGGACCTCGGGTTCCCTATCTGTAAATTTATTTATTTATTTATTTATTTTTTTTTCATTAATCAGTATTTTTTATTATGGTTTTGT